TGAAATTCTAATTGGAATCTTATTTTTTTTTTGATCACTGTTAGCAAGTTCGTTCCCTACCTCGACATTACTATTGAGGTTTTCTCTGTTTGACAACTAAATCGAGTATATTATTACCCCAGGTGGGTTCGGTTATATGTTGGCTTAGGAATCAGTCCTGGATTGTTTCAAGAAAATCCTCTGATTCTGAGTTACCCGTAAGGTCAATCCAATCTATTTGGCTAACGTTTAAGTCTCTTACCAAACAGACTTTGCTATGTTTGGAATCCCCATGCATTTCATCCCATATAAGTCGCTCATTAACACTTATCAAGATTAGGAGGTCTATATATTACTCCATACTCCTGTGATTAATTTTTCCCTTCCATCGATTAATTCTATCCAAATTGTTTCTGTATTTGCTCAATTTTTATTTCCTTACTTATTTCACACTTCAGATTATCCCTGACATAAGATTGCTACTCCGCTTCCTTTCCTAATCTGCCTATCGGTATGGAATAATTTGTAACCTGCTACTTCTTACCCTATGAAGGCTGAAGTGTTGGTCAAGTCTGGTCTTGAAAGAGCTCACACTCAGTGCCGTCACAACACTCTCTGGCAGATTGTTCCAAGAGTTTATTGCTCTCACTCCGAAAAAGTTTGCCCTCACAATTTTCTGGACCTGCAGCTTCTTCAACCTTGAGCTGTGACCCCATGTGGGGCGAGCGTCCTCCAGCTCAAGGTAAGGACACTCGACTGAGTAGTTCCCCTTGAGATGCTTATACACCTCAATTAAGTCGCCCCTTGTCCGTCTGTAGTATAAGCTCGGCAAGTTCAGGTGCTCCAATCTCTCAAGGTAGTTGAGGTGCCGAAGTGCAGGCACCAGTCTGGTGGCCCTCCTTTGAAAATTTTCAATCAACTGACAGTTTCTAGTATATCTCGGGGACCAGACTGGGTGACAGTACTCCAGATAGGGAAGCACTTCACTCTTGATGATCGTTACGAGGGATGGACCATCTAGATATCTGAACGACCTTCTTATAAGACCTAATAATTTATTTGCCTGATTTACCCTCCTCGCAATGGCCCGAGAACTTCCGCTCATTGTCAACATACACACTTAGGTCCTTCTCATATTCAGTCTCAAATAGCGCAGTTTCTTCATCCCGTTGGGACATATGATATGCCTCCTTACCGTTGGTATGCCCCAGTTGCATCCTCTTACACTTCGTGACATTGAATCTCAGCAGGCATTTCTTCGACCATTCTTGGAGCTCACAGAGATCCTTCTGCAGCTCTTCACAGTCCGCTTGGTTCTTGATTTCCCGAAATAACTTGGGGTCATCCGCAAACATTTGTATGGAGGAGTGTACAGCGTCAGGCATGTCATTTATGAAACTGGAAGGCCCATGTAAATAACACAGTCAAGGCATCCTCGTACCGTCTCTACATGCTACGACGACTTAGGTCACTTGGGACACCCACACCAGAGCTGAGGACTATCTACAATGCCTTTATTCTCCCCAAACTAAAGTATGTGTCACCAGCCTGGTCATCTTCTCTCAACTCCACCCAACACCGTCGGCTAGAGAAGGTACAGAAAAGGGCCTACAGAATCATGCTCGGCGCAGAATACTCCGGCTACATCAACGCTCTCTCCACCCTGGAAATGCCATCCCTCAGTGACCTCCACCACCAAGCATGGGAAAGGTTTGGCAGCCAACTAATGCACCACCCTCGTCATCGCCACCTCCTACCACCGGCAGCCCCCCACCCACCTCACGCAGTCTGCCAGTACAACAAAATTCAGCCCATAAGAGCCTGCACCGATAGATATAAGATTAGCACCATCCCATCTATTGTTAAAATAATAAACAACTCCTGATTTATCTACTGTACAGCCCTGTAAATGTATTCAACGCATATTATATCATTATGTCTAACTCAAATGTAAGTGTATATTTTCAGCCACCGGCTGCAACTCTATTAATAAACCGTTTATTATTATTACAAACAAACAACAGCGGGCCCAATACACTGCCCTGTGGTACCCCGCTTTTGACAGGTACAGAGGATGATTTCGTGCCATTAACCACCACACACTGCTTGCGGTCATGTAGAAAGTCTTCTGTTCACGCTAGGACATTTCTCCGAATTCCATACCCTTCCAGTTTGATTTTCAGCCTTTCGTGGGGTACTCTATCGAAAGCCTTGTCTAAATCTAGGTATATATTGTCTATATTACCACCCTGTTCCAGATTATGGGTCCAAATATCCAATTCCTTGAGCAATTGTGTAAAGCAGAAGCGCCCCGGCATAAAGCCGTGTTGGCAATCCTTGACAAAGTTGTTTCGTAGTAGATGTTTCATCGCGGCATCTTGATAATGCTATCAAGTACTTTGCATACTATGCTGGTCAGGCTCGCCGGTCTACTGTATAGTTGTTCATGGAGTGACGATTGCCCTTTTTGAAGATATGACTCACATAAGTCATTTTCCAATCACTGGGGACCTTTTGTTCATCCAGGCATTTACAGAACAGGATCTTCAGGGGCTCAGCAAGCTCGTTGCACAGTTCTCTTAGCACTCTGGGATGCACCATGTCAGGGCCGGGACTCTTATGGACCTTTAGCTTTGACAATTTATTTCTTATACCTTCTGCGAACACAATGTGGGTCAGTGCTGTGTCGAACCGTCTGTCCTTAAACGCAGGAAGGTTAATCGCATCCTCTCTTGTGAACACCGTAGAAAAGAAGCTGTTCAATGCCTCAGATTTGTCCTGGTCAGAATCTGCGTAACTACCATCTTCAAGCCTTATGTCTGATACTCCGACTCGCGTTTTTAATTTCGACTTTGCATGGCGGTAAAACGCCTTTGGGTTTGACTTGACCTCGCTTGCAACCAGCCTCTGGAACTCCTTTTCAGCCCTTGTACATTCTGACTTCGCTTGGTTTCTGGCTCTTGCATACATCCTCCTGTATTGCTCATCGTTTGACCTAACCCACGTCTTGAATTTCTGGGGGTTTTTCTTAACTTTGTCGACCGCCGCATGGTTCATGTGTAGGGGTCCCCTTGTATTCCTAGAGGCACTGGGTTTGATCTTGGGGATATATTTATCGATCAAATGGGTCACTTTACTAGTTATGATATTCAGCATAGTGTCTGCGTTCTTGTGCCTTAGTGAATCAGGCCAGTGGATTCCCGTAATCTCCTCCCTCATCCCGTCGTAATTTCCCTTGTAATATTTGCACATTGGCCTGGCTTTATCATGAACCTGGTAACAGATAACTCTGAATAACAACACTACATGGTGACTGGTGCCAACTGGGGCTAGATGTTCCAGTTTGGCCACTATATCCTCTTTGTTTGTTATGATGAGGTCAAGTGGCTTGGGTGTTTGCTCCCTTCTGTAATGTGTTGCATCTGTAACATGTTGGAACAGAAAATTATCTCTCGGAGTTTCTTGAAAAAGAGTAGTAGGGTTATTTAAGTCATTTGGGGGTGAACTCGTTTCTCCTGTCGATGTTGCCACAGTTAAAGTCCCCCATGATAAGGAGGTGCCTAGGGTTGAGCATCGCTGCGTTGTCTATTAAAGCTCTTAAGTTCCTTTGATTTGGGTAGGCTACAGTTTGGGGATCTGTAGATACACTCGACAATAAGGAAGTTCCCTCCCTTTAATTTAATTTTACACCACTTGGACTCTTCAAAAACACCCTCTCCCTATACCCTCGCATGGCTGGTTCTAAGGTCTTGCCTAGCACAGATAACCTTACCGCTGCCGAATAACTTCCATTTTTTTATCCTCACTCGCTAGTGTAATCCTGAGGTAGCGAGGATTGTCCTTTTGTTTTTGTCCCAGCCTCCTCACATCCTGAGGGGGGCATCGTGTGTTCTCTTACTCTCGGCTGTCTCCGACTGGTTCTCAGGGACTCCAAACACTATTATGTTGTTCGTGCGCTCGAAACGTCCCTCTCCATTATCAGTAGGTCTGCTAGTTGGCATCTCTTCAACACCCTTCTGCAGAGTCCCTTGCTGATGAAGGACCTGTTCGGATTCTGCATTACTCTCCGTCACTCTTTTTATAAAGATAAAATTCTCGAGATTCGGTTGGTGGGAACAAATTAAAGTTTGATGAGTGCTAGCTGTGGAGATGGAGCTGGTAAGATACTTAAAACAATGCGACGCACCTCGAGTCTGTGTAGTAATTTACCTCATCATACACGGGCAAGCTTTTCTGCTCTTGGAATAAATAACTAAGTCTTACCAACGCACCCAGGAGCCCCACCAACCGTAGAGAACGTGTAAATCTGAAACTTGCTATGGGTACCTTAACTGGTTTTTTTTTTTTTATTGGTTGATTTTATTGGGAGTTTATCACATGGGCAATAAAATTACAATACAGGTAAGAACACCAATCAAAGGCAAACACATCAGATATTATATTCAGTACATAAATATAATTCACACACAAAATCAAAATACTTATTTTTAGTGGAGTCATAAAAAAAGCACCCTGACAAAAGATAAGGCAAACATTAATGTGTGACAACTTGTACAAATACCTAGTAAGAAACTTATACAGCAAAAACTATTTTCTTCAAATACAATATGCACAGTACTTTGTGCAAAGAAATGTACACAGAGTTGTTTCATAATTTTTAATGCTGCTGGACTAGTGCATTACTAACCTTGGGACCTTCGTTGTTTAAACACATTTCTTAGAACTCGTCTTTCAACAATATTTTGACCACCAAGAAGCAAATTACTTCGTTATATAACACCAGTGTACTTGAATGAACTTTTACCTAGTTCACTCCTTTATCTAGGAACTACAAGTGAAGGTTGACATGTTATATTCATTATTGACCTGAGTGAATTAATATTATATATATTTTGGATTTTTATCCTTATTATCATAAATACTGTAGTTTACTCTCAAGTTTGTCACGAAAACTAATGCTTATATTGAAATAATGCAACATTATTTGCCTCATACAGTCCATGATTGTTGTGTAATTCCAGAATGACGGGGTGCGGGTGCGAGGCTTGGCGTGGGTCTGCAGGGCACCAGCGGGCCACAGCTTCCGGGCCCTCGGAAAGATGCTTCGTGCACCACGTCGGTCAAATCATCTTCGCTCTGATCACCTGTCACCTCCGCTCCCAGCCCGAGGGTAGCGTACCACCCTGTAGTCCAGTCAACACTCTTCGATCTCTTAAGCATCTCTACTCCCCAACACTGTTGCGACTCTTATCCCGCACTCTGGCAGGGGGCGTGAGTGTGGCGTGGGGTGTGATGGGCGGTGGGGGTGAGGGACGGGTAGCAGTGCGAGCCTTCCAGTGGGAGACACAGTGGGAGCAGCTAGATCCTTGTCCGGAAGCTGAATGGCCTCTGTCTGGCGCGGAGGCTCTCTTTACGGACCTTCCTAGTGTGCCGCAGCCTAGTGAACGTCCTATTAATAAATATACGTCAAACATCACCGTCAGTCGCTGCTACTCAACTACAGCAACTGCAACTGTCATCCACGAAGGAAATTCAGAAAGGGATATCAAACCGTCTCCAGAGAGTCAAGGTCCCAAAGACCACATTGTGAAGAACAGTGATGCCGGAATAATGGCTGGCTTCCTACACGACAGCGCGCCCGTACAGCTGGTGCAGGTGGTGGTGATGGCTGCCGAGCGGATCATGGCTTTGCGGCCTGGCAGTACTCTAGTAGAGGCTATCTACTCCTCCCCGCACCGTCTTATACAACATGTCATGACGGCTCAGAAGAAACACCTAAAAACTAAGTGATTAACTTTTTAACAGACCACAACATTAGATATTAAGTGTTCATCAGTCATTTTGAAAGGTCATCACTTACCTTGAGTGCTCACCAGTCATAACAGACCAAATGATAAGTGGTTGTTTAGTTTTTAAGTGAACAGGAATATCAGTGTAACAGCAGTACCAGCTTACTGAGGGACGTGTTGTCGGGTGTGAGTATCGTCAGTGCCATATGTTTAAAATAGTAACTTATACAAAGTTCTCTGATGCTATCATGCTGCAGGGTTAGGCTAGGAAGAGTATTATGACCGTATGACAACTCGGAAGTCTTTCAGTACAAATAAAATATGTATGGCAAACTACTGTATTCTGAATTTAACTTCCAAAAAAAACAATATGTATTTAATATAAAAAGAAAAAAAATAGTTGTCCTCTAACAGTGAAAGCCTCTGTTATTATGGGTTAATAATGAGTTAGTCATATCAGATACACTGGCAAGTATTACCAGGGTGTATGGATTTTCATTCTTAAAACCTGGTTATGTACAATATGTCCAAAATCTTGTTACCAATCCTAGCCATCAACACAATCACCAGGATGTAAGTAAAATAATTACCTATGGATGTTCCTTTTACTCTTTACTCTAGGTTTAAGGTCTGGTCAGGGCCAACTCATGAAGATGTCATTAGAGGTTTTATTAATATAATTCAGAAGTAGAAAACGGCAGATCGCAGGAAGACAAATATGCCGCCTGGTTACCCTAATTTAAGTAGGGCAGTGGACCTCGAAGTCACTTTGATATGAGAAGTCACACCACCTGTGATCTGCATTTATTATGTTTGGTGAGTGACTTGTTTGACTCCTAATCATGACAGAAATAAATATTTTGTACCTTCAAATGTATTCATTACGGTTTTCTACTTAACAAAACTCATAATGGTTTAATAATGGTGCTTTGAGTAACATTCATGAAAAAGAAAAAATACCTTTCTGATATTGCCATAGAAATGTCGAGTTGATCATGACAGAATTCTGTGATGTAAGTTTAATGGCTTGACTGTAATAATATATACCACAGAGTGATAGGTATTTTGTTTACTATTTCTACACTAAAGAACCCTTGTGTTCCCTCGTATATCTAGAGGTTTATATAATTAAGATATATTAGTCATGATAGATGTATATTTGCTATCGCCAGAAAAATAAAAAGTTATATTTATAAATCTGGGATATATATTTTATGTTAACTCTAGTTATGCTTCATAGGTGTATAAATTTAAAGAAATTTTATTGGATTATTACCTGTGTATCCATCAACCTCGCTCCTCACTACCTGGGTTGAGATAGCATCACTCGGACTCGAGAACCTACAGTAAAACTACTTCTCGACCTTCTCCTCGACTCGTGACGTGGGAGACAAAGTGAATGAAGACTTCCCGCCAGAAGAGCTCGTCAACCCTCTTGTGCCAGTGGATGATGGAGACACCCAACTTTATGAAGTGATATGGGGTCAGGATGAATGTTGTGTATATTGTCTATGTGAGTTTCAGATACACTGAGCACCAGGAGAGAGATACTCGTAGATACAACAGGTATTTGTCTCGACTGGGAGAGGAGAGTTTGTAAAATAAGAACGCAAAAGGAGGAGAAAATAAATTAAAGATGTCCAAAATAACAACAGATATAGTTTTAAAATAGAGCTATTTCCAGTAAATGAAGTTTAACTGATTGTAATAAATAGCATCAAGGTTATATATAGCCCAGCCACGAACATTACAATGAACCAACGGAACCTAACATGACTGAAAACTGCTGAATTAAGATAGAAAGGTTAGGTTATATTGTGTTTTTGGTTTTAGATATTCATTGGAATTTTTATCAAAATGCATAGGACTGGTGCAAAAGGACTGGTACACAAGGACTGGTGTACAAGAACTGGTGTAAGAGGGCAAACTTTCAGTGTATGGATTTGCATCTTTATTTTATTTTTGTAACCTTCTAGGACCTAGGTTATATATTTTATTTTACTTATTTTCTAGTTCATTTTCTCAAAATACTTACTGCATTTCTTTCAGTGTCTCTTACTTATTTGTTGATTTCCTCCTATTTACATTAATTCTCAAATTTATTTAGTTATATTCTTAGTCATTCGTGAAATTACTGAACTTAAATCTTAGAGGTGCCACCTCCCAGACTTTCTTAAGAATATAACATCTACCATGAACCTCTTGATTAAATTGGTAGCGTGATATGCACGAGAGGTTAAGCATGTGACTTTAATTTATTAAGAGTATTTTCAGGGATGGCAATTGTTAGAAGGAGTGAACGGTGATACACACACTGAATTATTATGTAGTAAATGCCAGTCTGAATATGGTGATACTTTGAACCTTCACTCACAACAACAATACTTAGGTTCAATTATTTATTACTTTACTGTAACACTAAGACAAAACAGAACTGACCAATGGGTCGTACTTTAAGCAGCAAAAATAGATCTTCAGTTATCATTTACAACACAACACAGCAGTGACAATAGTGATGGTCACTCTAAATTCTTGTCAGTAACACAGAATGATGGTATTATAGCACCATGCTATTACTTGATTAACAAACAGGAAAACATCCACCAGCACATATCGGCTGGAGTACAGCTGGTTGATTCACATCCATAACAAACTCTAATGCTGGTGATAGTAATATTTCTGGTCTCAATAATCGACCTGGGACATACAACCTGGAGGAGTTCACCAGGCTTATATCATTGGTTGGTATTCAAAACAGATGCTGGTCGGCTATACTCTGAATCCACGGCAGGGCTCGTACTCGGAGCAAATCTGTGAGCCCGTACTCTTGCTCCCTGGAGTGCCACATGCTCAGATACTGTATTAATCTCGCTGTATTAAAGACATCCTGCATCGGACATCTTGTCTGCAGGCGACTACCGATCCTCAGCGGCAACAAGGCTGGATTCAGGAGTGGGCAGCTGCCCAGGGGCCTACACAATCTGGGGGCCTCCACATGTGCGGTAGTAGCTATATCAGGGCTGGTCGACTTGAAACCACATGAATGACTCCAGTCATGTCTCACTTTTGTGTGTGTGTTGGGAATTTGTACACTATCAATAAATATAAAGTTAATTAAAAATTTCTCAATGTTCTAATATCCTCAATATAACTGCATATGGCTTCAAAATTCTCCAAAGAAGAGTTCAAATTTCAAAATTTTCCCGGGGGGCTTACAGCGCCCCCCGGAACTCCCAGATATTTAGGCTGGCTTCACTCGCCACCCCACCCTCTTGGGTAGTTATAATGAGGGGGGCCTTCACAAAGAGGCTGCCCATGGGCCTCCACAAGTCTAAATCCGGCACTGAGGGGCAACAACACATACAGTGCTCGTTGGGGGGGTGGGCGATCAGAATGAATAAAGTCCGAATACAAAACGTAACAAAACACGTCTGACAGGGGAACAGGTCACTAAATATGTAAGGCGGGTGGTCAATTACGCTATTGGATCACTTAACACATAAGACGTTCAACTATGTTAAACAGGATCACTGATATTTTCAACTGAGTTAAATTCACTTAATATGGTGGCGTGAGGCACTATGTACAGTTGCCAGCAAAAGTCCTCCCACAAACTTGCTACACAGGGCTGTGGGAGAACTTTTGCTGGCAAACGGTACATAACTGTTAGGTGGGTGAACAGTGATCAAAATGAAGCTCTTCTCGCCTTGTGCCCCAGTTTAAATATGCATGGGTGCCACCTTTGGGACTTAACTCACATATTCATCTGACTCAGTTGTGGTACACAATGGGCTATGAGAATCAGTGTCAGGGGTCACATAAATTTCTTAAGGCTAACACTTACAATCTAATTAGTTTTTGGGGTTGAATTGCAATAACTAAACTGCAAACAGTGCGTAGATCGGCACTCACGCTTTGTGCTGAAGAGGCGTAAATACAACGGAAGCCTTTTTTTTTTTTGGCAGCCCCCTACATCCTGTGTAAGGTGAAGCGCAGAAGCGTTTACAGCATCCAACAGGGAAGCATGCTAAGTTCATGCTTGCCTTTATGTCTCATGTGTTAAGGGCGTAGAAGCCTGAAGAGTCAATCGTTTTGGTCATCAAGTTATTGGAAGCTCCAACAACTTTCCCTGAATACGAATTCGCAGCTTTCGATTTACAACAGGTACCTACTTTACTGCTAAGTGAACAGGGACCAATTGGGGCTAGGAAGTATGTCCAAACAACTTTTCCACCGGCGGACGCCTATTGATGCTCGGCCATTAAATTTCAGGCAGTGAGCAGTTGATAGGTCTCTCTCAAATGAATACTGACTTTCTTAAATACAAAACTGACAATAATTTCATTACAGTCATCAGATTTTCTGACGATCGTGAATCAACACAGATGCATTCGTTCGTATGTTTAAATATACAAACATAAACATGGGACTGTGAAAAACTGCAGAAGATTCTCTGTGAGCTTCAAGAATGGTCGAAGAAATAGCTGCTAAGATTCAATGTCACTATGTGTAAGAGGATGCGCCTGGGACGTTCCAACGGTAAGTAGGCGTATCATACGTCTCAACGCGACAAAGAAACTGTATTAATTGAGACAATGTGAAAAGGACCTAGGTGTGTATGTTGACAATGAACTGAAGTTCTCGGGCCACTGTGAGAAGAAGGTGAACCAAGCAACTATATTATTAGGTCTTATAAGAAGGTTGTTCAGATATCTAGACTGTTTATTCCTCGTAACGATCTTCAAGAGTGCGGTGCTTCACCGCCTGGAGTACTGTCACCCCATCTGGTCCCCGAGATATGCTAAGGACTGTCAGTTGATAAAAAATGTCCAAAGGAGGGCCACCAGACTGGTGCCGGGACTTCGGCACCTCAGCTACCCAGAGAGATTAGAGCGCCTGTAATTGTCTAGTTTATACTACAGACGGGCAAGGGGGGACCTAAATAAGGTGTATAAACATCTCAAAGGGCACTACTCAGTTGAGTGTCCTTACCTGGAGCTGGCAGACGCTCGCCCCACAAGGTCGAAGAAACCACAAGTCCAGAAAACTGTAAGGGCAAACTTTTTCGGAGTGAGAGTTATGAACTCGTGGAACAACTTATCAGAGAGTGTTGTAACGACACAGTGTGAGCTCTTTCAATACCAGACTTGACCAACACTGGAGCAGGTTCAGGTACATTCAGGAGCCGGTGCATGCCCAGTACTTGCCAACAGTGCGTAACAGAGACGTGACCGATCGCCCAAACGGCTAACGAGCCGATGAGTGGTGAAGAGGATAAAAGAAAAAGTAAAAGTAAGGACTGGTGTACAGGATGAATGGTGTACAAGGACTGATGTACAAGATGAATGGTGTACAAGGACTGGTGTACAAGGACTGGTGTACAAGGACTAGTGTACAGGAGGAATGGTGCACAAGGACTGTTGTACAAGGATTAGTGTACAAGGACTGATGTACAAGATGAATGGTGTACAAGATGAATGGTGTACAAGGACTGGTGTACAAGGATTAGTGTACAAGGACTGTTGTACAAGGACTGGTGTATATGGACTGGTGTATATGGACTGGTGTACAAGGACTGATGTACAAGGACTGATGTACAAGATGAATGGTGTACAAGATGAATGGTGTACAAGGACTGATGTACAAGATGAATGGTGTACAAGATGAATGGTGTACAAGGACTGGTGTACAAGGATTAGTGTACAAGGACTGGTGTACAAGATGAATGGTGTACAATATGAATGGTGTACAAGGACTGGTGTACAAGGACTGGTGTTAATGGACTGGTGTATATGGACTCGTGTACAAGGACTGATGTACAAGATGAATGGTGTACAAGATGAATGGTGTACAAGGACTGGTGTACAAGGATTAGTGTACAAGGACTGGTGTACAAGATGAATGGTGTACAATATGAATGGTGTACAAGGACTGGTGTACAAGGACTGGTGTTAATGGACTGGTGTATATGGACTCGTGTACAAGGACTGATGTACAAGATGAATGGTGTACAAGGACTGATGTACAAGGACTGATGTACAAGATGAATGGTGTACAAGATGAATGGTGTACAAGGACTGGTGTACAAGGACTGGTGTACAAGATGAATGGTGTACAAGATGAATGGTGTACAGGGACTGGTGTACAAGGACTGATGTGTACAGATGAATGGTGTACAAGATGAATGGTGAGATGAATAAGATGAATGGTGTACAAGATGAATGGTGTACAAGATGAATGGTGTACAAGGACTGGTGTACAAGGACTGATGTA